TTTGACATCCCTAGATGGTAATGCACACAATCACTTTTATAAAAAAAAAAATGATTTTGTTAGTAAAAAAAGTAACCAAAAAAACCAAAAAAGTAACAGAAAATATATTAATTAGGATTTAAACTTGGATTTGGAAGGTACAGAACCCTTGTTTGATTTCCATTTTTTTTTAATACATTTTTTTTCTGTTTTCTTTTCAATCATACATTCTTAAGTAAAATAATATTACATGGAAATCCAAATTTTCCCTTATTTTTTAATCACACATTCTGTATCAATCAACTATTCCAAAATACATTCTATAAAAAAAAAAAGGGAAAGTGAAAAAAGTGACAAAAATATATGCAGAATATATTGTTTTCCTGATTGCCTAGCTTTGATTTTTGTTTTCCAAACATTCTTAACAAACTTCACATTTGTGCTTTGATTAGTCCATTGAGGCAACTCCCAAACTCAATGCCTCCCAATTTATATTTCCCAGTTTTTGCACCGAAGATATAAGTAAAATTCACTTATTTTACTCTTGTTAAAAATGAATTCTTCAATTTACTAACTTCATCATTATTTCTCAAATTTACCTACCTCGACCTTCTTTCCGAGTAAAGAGAAAAAATGGGTCCTAAAATTCAATGCTCTTTTCCACTTGTAAACATTCTTCAAAGTTCAATATCTAAATTGAACTCACAACAAAGCATACAATATACAAATTGAAGCTTCAAAATCAACTCCGACTTCACCAGCTCAAATTTTCTGCAATCCTACCATCTTCCCCAAGGCAAAGCAGATATGCTGGCTGCTCAAATTAATCACCGCAAACCCAGCCAACCAAAACCGAGTCTACCATCAACTACTCAAAGTAGCCTTCTATAATCGACATCATCACACACCAAAAAGTAGAAACTTGAAACTCGCCAAGGAGATGGTGGGGTACGTTTTTTTGCTCATGCAATGTGATTTTGTTGGTCGTGATGCCAACTGCCAAGGCCATTGTAGACTTGGATTTTATCGGAGTTGATGATTTCCAAGGAAGTGAAGAAGCTGGAGGCTAAGTCTACAGAAAGCTTTGGTTTAATAGAGCTTGTGGCTCCCAATATCATAACTATCTTCTTATTCCGACGAGTTCCAGTGGAGGCGGTTGTAATGGTGGTCATATGGGTTGTTCTCGTAGAGGTTGAGCAACTCGATGGCAACTCGCATAGCTCTAGGAATATTTGGTAGTTTAGAATGTAATTAATACGTTGTTAAATGTTTTAATTAACTAATAGGGTATTAATCAAATTTGTTAATTTTTTATGGCATTGAGCCTAATTTTCCCAACTATTTATTAATAGTTTTAAGAAAAAATCATCTTAAATAATTGCAAATCAACTTATATTTTAGTCTTAGCAAATCTTTCATGAATAGTCTTCCAAAAATATTCTAAATATTTCCATCAAACTATCCGATTAAGATAACTAGAATCTGGCAAGATAAACTGCAACCTTTTATCTAAGAGGGATAGATTACATGGTTTTTTGAGTTAATTGATTTGATTTACTTTAGTCAATCGCTTTTCCGGATACATTTAATTGTCATACCGAATCAATAAATTAATTTCAAGTGAGCCATCAATATAGCACCCTATAACACCAAACAAAACATTAATCCCGTCAAAGTATCAAATTGTGCTGATGGTTCTTCTGTAAATCAAATTCAGACGGAGATATAATGATTTAATTTGTAAGAAGTTGAAGTTCATTAATGAGCTCCAATGAACTTTTGGGTTCAATTGTATAATCCCACATTCCTATTTTTGTGACAGTCCAACACAACCTGCATTTGAAAGTGTTGTAACCATCTAGTACTAAAATTATAACAACGCCAGCTCTCGCTTTTTCGATATTTTCAACAGTGAGACTTCTTATGATTGGGTAATCTACGGTGCAACGTAACGGTCTATTTAACATCCTGAAATCAAACAAATTCATAAGTTGTGACTGGTCTATTTAACATCCAAGAAAACATGAATCCTACTTAATCTTGAGATATTCTATTTGATTCGAACGTCTGGTTCATTTCATAACTGTAATCATGAATCAATCAGGAATATGACTACTTAATTTATTCTCACTCTCAATATATAGGCACAAAGGCAAACAAAATGATGCAAGAGAACAAAAAAGGTGAAAAAGTAGAACTACATGGTACTTAAGAAAGAAGTGGGACTTGGAGGTAATGGGATGTCTACAGTCCCCTCCAACATGAGTAGAACTTTCTTCATCGACGGACGGAGAGATGGCTCATCTTGGATGCACCAAATACCAATTTTAATCAGCCTCTCCAATTTTCTCTCGTCAACCTCCTCTTCTCCCACCAATTTACTCAACTCCCCAACCTCGAAAGCGTTGTAAACCCATTCTTCAAGAATAGCTTCATCCGGAGAGAGGCTTGAATCGACACTTTTTCTACCACATATGATCTCTAATAGCACAATTCCAAAGCTGTAAACATCTGCTTTAACTGTTACAGGCAATTTCCTGTGCCACTCCGGAGCTACATAACCCCGAGTTCCTCTTATCCCTGTGTAGGTGTTTGTCTGATCTTTCTTTAAGAGCTTTGCCAGTCCAAAGTCAGAAATTTTTGCACACCTATGCTCATCCATGAGTATGTTTTGAGGTTTTATATCACAGTGAATGATCTGCGTCTCACACTCCTCGTGCAAATATAGGATGCCTCTTGCAATATCACGAGAAATTCGAATACTTTCTTCCCAACACAGTCGATTTTCTTGATTGAAAAGAATAACTGCAAGTGCTACATATTTCATGTATTCATATACTAGAAGCCACTAAGCT